AACCCCTTCATACTGGTCGGCAAACCTCAGTGAAAAGAGCCGCATGGAAACTCAGCAAGTGAGGCTATCTGTGCAGTATCCCAGTAAAAGCCTGAACAAGAATGTTGGTAAAGCACTCACTCATGGAGTTCCCTCAAGAATTGCAACAGCAGTGATGAATTGCTTGCCAGTGAGAAACCAATCATTCTCACGTCTCCTATTATTATTATTATTATTATTATTATTATTATTAATCTTTTGTTGTTCAAAAAGCACAGAAAAACAAAATTGTTTCTTTTTCTTTTCTAATGCAGATTTTTGCAACCGAAGACACCCCTCGTCAATTTGTCGCGAGAAGATACCTCAACAATCGCCGGAGCCTATGTTGGTAGCAACTGGGAAACAAGCGAGCAACAGAGAGATCGAAATTTACAATGTTGTTATCAGCAGTTTGACGGGGGAATTTCAGCTTTGAACCGAAGTGACTAAGGTGGACCACGGAACGCTACTCAGTTTGGAAAACCCTCGGTACAAGGAGCTGGTGGAAAGATACAATCACCTGAAAGAAGTCACAATGGATGATGTAGACGAGAAAGAGGAGCTTCCCGTACATCTTCTCTCGGAACATACGAATATGCGCAGATAATGACCGAGACCACACCCAAGATCGGGAAACCAGGAGAACCCATTGCCGAATTAACAAGATTAGGATGGACCATCATGTCACCCGGAAGTGAATCTGACCTCACAAACATGTTCCTGACCCAAACCTCTGCAGCTGACTATGAAGCCTTGTGTAGACTTGATGTGCTTGGTCTACAAGACCATCCAGTTGGCGACCAAGATCTTGTATTCGAAGAATTCAAGGAGCAGCTAACAAGAAACCCGCAAGAATGGTACGAAACAGGCCTCCTTTGGAAGGGAAATCATCCACCCCTCCCTAACAACAAACATGGCAGCCTGAAACGACTAGACTACCTTCTCAGAAAGCTAGAGAAACAACCAGGCATGTTGCAGAAGTATGACGGGGTCATTCAAGTTCAGTTATCTCAAAGAATAGTCGAACGAGTGCACAGTGAACCAGAAGGGAAGGAGTTTTACATCCCGCACAAGGCCATGATACGAGAGATGGCAGAGAGCACAAAGATTCAAATTGTCTACGATGCGTCCGCCCGAGCGAACGAGAAAGCACCATCCCTCAACGACTGCCTAGAGACTGGGCCACCATTGCAAAACAAACTTTGTAGCGTACTCGTGAAAAACCGGTTCCAACCTGTGGCCCTAGCAGGGGACCTGAAGCAAGCTTTTCTACAAGTGAGAATCCAAGAGGAAGACAGAGACGTGATGCAATTTCACTGGCTCAAGGACTTAGACAACAAACACGTGGAAACTTTACGCTTCACACGAGCACTGTTTGGCTTGTCCACGTCGCCATTCTTGCTTGGGGGAGTGATTGATCAGCACCTAAAAAATCTTCAGAACGTCTACCCAAGGGAAGTTGAAGAGATTCGACGAAGCCTCTACGTGGACGACTTAATCAGCGGTGATAAAACCGTGGCTGGCGCACAACACCTGAAACAAGCATCGCAGTCCATTTTCAGAGCTGGGAAATTTGAACTGCAAAAATGGCACTCTAATGTCCCGGCCCTGGAACAGCCTTCACCCCACGAAGAAACAATAAAAGAACTACCCACTACCCATCTAAGTGAGAACCAGAGCTATGCCAAGGACCAGTTAGGAGTCAAGCAAGGAGAAACGAAGCTGCTTGGTGTACCATGGGATAAACGAGAGGATACAATACAAACCAGTTTCCCTGACCCGATTTCGAAAGCAACTAAGAGAGAAGTCCTTGGAAAGATCGCTAAGATCTACGATCCCCTCGGTCTAGCATCACCAATCACTTTGGAAGGGAAATTTCTTTACAGAGAAATGTGTGAAGCCCGAATCCCATGAGACCAAGAGCTACCCCAGGGACTCACGATCCGTTCGTAAACCTGGGAGAACAACCTAACAGACAAGGTAGAAGTACCAAGAAGCATTGCCCAGCACCAAGAAGAGATCACTTACGCCGTCACACATCAAGCAACGGGCTATCACAAGGGCTCGTAACAGCAAAGTCTCGACTGGCGAAGAAAGGACTCACCATACCAAGACTCGAACTAGTGTCGGGGCACATGGCAGCCAATCTTGTAGATAACGTTAAAGAAGCACTGCAAGGTTTCCCAGTTGAAGGTGTTCATTGTTGGCTCCATAGCAGCGTAGCTCTTCACTGGATCAAGGGGGGCGGAGATTACAAGCAGTTTGTTAGCAATCGAGTGAGGAAAATCCAAGAGAAGAAGTACATCCAGTGGAGGCACGTGGGTACCAAGGAAAACCCTGCCGACCTGGGTAGCCGAGGTGGGCAAATTAGTAACTGCTCAGATCTGTGGTGGCATGGGCCAACATGGTTACCTTTCCCAGAGAGTTGGCCAGCAGATATTGTCACCACTCCTACCAAGGAATCACAAGCCGAAGCCAAGATCATAAGGGGAGTTCTGAGCGTAACTGTGAAGACAGATGACGATCTAGACCTGGTGATGCACAAGTACGACTTATGGAAGGCCATCCAAATCTGCTCGTGGGTTGTGCGATTTACAAGGAACTGCAGAGCTAAACGCCAGCAAAGGATCACCGGACCAATCACTACCGAAGAGACAGCCAACCAGTTGCAGTTCTGGGTAAGAAGATCACAAGTCAGGAGTCAAGGCACCATAAAGTTTGATGAAGACCAAATGAAACTGAACCTCCAGAAGAACATAGATGGGATATTCGAGTGCCGAGGACGTATTCAAGGCCACTACCCAATTTACCTACCTGACGATGGCGTGTTTACTGGAAAACTAGAAACACACTTCCACAACCAGACCCTACATGGGGGAGTTGGTTTGACCATGTCCAAAGTACGCGAGACGTATTGGGTACCTAGATTGCGCCAGCTTGTTAAACGCCTTATCAAGCGGTGCTATGGATGTTGTTGGAATAGACTACGCTGGACCGATCAAGTACCATGACAGAAAAAACAAAGGAAAAGCGTACATAGTCCTGTATGCCTGTAGCCTGTCCCAAGCCTTGTACCTCGAATTGACCAAGACCATGGAGACTGAAGAGTTTATCACTACCTTGAAGCGGTTCATAGCAAGAAAAGGTCGTCCTGTAAAAATCTATTCAGACAATGGTAGGACCTTCGTAGCTGCAGCAAATTGGCTACGGAATGTAATGCAAGATGAGCGCCTCCATGACTACCTTGCCAAGATGAATATCAAATGGCAGTTCAATCTCAGTAGAGCTCCATGGTGGGGCGGAAAATTTGAACGGATGGTCGGTATTGTCAAGCAGGCCTTCAATAAGTCTGTCGGAAATGGAACCCTCACCTGGGCAGAACTGCAGGACGTGCTGCTAGACGTGGAGGTCGCACTGAACAACCGTCCTCTGAGTTATGTAGAAGAAGATCTACAGCTTCCTTTGTTGACCCCTAACATGTTACAGTTCGGACGCCCTAACTTGTTGCCTGATCCTGAAGCACACCATCAAGAGAATCCTGATCTGAGAAAGCGTGCAAGATATCTAGCGAGATGCAAAGATGTGATCTGGAAAAGGTGGTCTGCCGAGTACCTAAGGGGACTACGCGAAAGGCACAACATGAAACACAACAAGAGGCAGCTATCTGTAACAAGTGGGGATGTCGTTATTACCACCACGGGCAGTGGAAGTTAGGAATCGTAGACGAGCTGTTTCCAGGAAGTGATGGTGTCATCAGGGCCGTTAAATTGCGAGCTGGGAAGTCTTCTCTAGAGAGGCCCATACAGCACCTCTACCCATTGGAGCTATCTTGCGACAGGACCACAGACAAACCCAAAGCACCACTGAACACAGAGGCGCCAACCTTCAGGCCGACCAGAGACGCTGCAGTCGCTGCGAGGGCGCGAATTCGAAGTATCGCAAGTGATGAGGAGTCTGGTTGATGACGAACAATTCTCTTTGAAAATTTGCACATTTGATTGAGACATTTTGAGCATATTCGCATTTATTGTAGTCGCATCTCGGATTATTCATATTTGCCACTGTAACCGAAGTGTCAAATAGGGGGAGAGTAGTGACGGAAAGCGTGACAGCATGACATAACGTGACAAGAAAGTATTACTATTATTAATATTAAGTGAAAGACAAGCTCCTTTGAACATTAGACTTGATTGCGAAACAGTGTAATAAGATCGGCTTTTTAAGGGGTGTGTGTTTTAGAGAGAGACAGCGAGATAGCGAACCGAAGATATCTGTAATCAGGGAAAACAACAGTAAACCAGTTTGAAGCTTAAACCTGTGACTTATTTGTCAGATACCGGTTCCCGACAGCACTGTCATATTCCTTTTTACTCAGTAGGCTATCCTCTGCCAATTCAACGAGCTGACGTTTGCAAACTCAAACCGCCAGACTCTGAGAACTCTGGATATTTTGGGTGAAAACCATGACAACTGTTTAAAGCAGATAAGAGAGGATTACAAAGGAAAATGAAGGATTGCACCTCCTCGAAGAGAAGATCAAGAGTCTAAATAATGTGCATTCTTCTCATCTTTCTTCTGTATCAACATGCTGTGACTGCAGTGGAGAATTGTCTGTACTGATGAAACATGCATTTGAGTTAGAGAAGTCCAGTCACCCTGGTTTTGTGATTTCATTTGACAACTTGGATATTCAGTTGCAAAGGAAAAATATGTTAATGGAATCACAAAACAGGGATTACCACTGGGTAAATCATCAGATGCTTGAGAACCATGTGTCTGGGGCTCACCTCAGATCGAAAGGACCGAATGCAAACCTGGAGGAAGTTTCAAACCTCAAATTTCTGCCTACTCTTGATGCCCAACAGCAACAACAGTCCAACTATATTATACTTACTGCACGGATCCTCGTTAACTACTTTGATGCTTTGGCTCCTCTGAAGTATGCATGAATCCTTCATATCCCCCACAAATACCCAAATGAGATGGCTCAGAAGTCCAAGTAGGTATCTCCCTTTTTTCAAAAGTATTATCTAGTACACCTCAACATTACAACCACTGACCTATACGATAAACATTAACATGGCCAGGTTACCATTATTTGAGATTCTTACATACAGTGTAAGAGTTTGATGTACAGAAATCTTAAGACATTTTAATTATCATTAAAGTAATAATATTTACTTTTCAGGTTCCAATTGGCATCATTTTCAAAAATGAAAACATCAATGAGGACATGGTTTCCATCCTGCAGCAATTCTTTTCCTACCTTCCAAAAACTGGAGATGGTGGTGTTGATGGTCAGCTATTCTCTGGTGACCAACTAACAGTAGAAAGGGCAGTTAATGTAATTTCCTCTGTAGCAAATGGTTTTACCCCAGAGGATCGTTTAGAAGGCATTAACCTTCAGTTGGGTGATTGGCATGCAGCTGTGAAAGTTCTAACTGTAAGTCAGACAACTATTAGTAGCTGTATGTAGTAAGGGCAATAAACAATTTATTATTAGTTTAGATTAAATTTGTCTAATGAATGTTTTTTTTTTTTTTTTAATGCAAGTTTATCTGACTTTGGGTTTCTACCTGCCCAGAATGTTTTTACTCAGGCAGTAAAAGACGATAAGATTCATAATAGCAGTGATACCGGATGCAAATGAGGTGCAGGCACGCAAAAACCACCAACGTGTTTGTGGTCTTTTTAATACTTACTGCTGCCTTCCCTCTGAAATACGACCACGAGGGTATATGTGTAAGACCTCACACTTTCTACTGGCCGGGTTTGGAGTTGCTTACGCATTTCACTGGCTGGAATATTAGGATATTTGGTTGTTTCTCGTCTTCAGTGAACTGTTGGACTGAGAGCCCTATTTGCATAAGGAACAATGCCACGTTATTGGCTGGAGTCGAAGTATTGTTTCACTATTCATGGAACAGTGATCTCTCTATTGGTGTTGTTCTCACCAATCTGTTTAATGGCTCTGCTTGTATTACATTCTTCCGACGTCCATGGATCAGCTACTACGTTCCACCCGAGTTCCTGGGAATTTTGAATATGCCTGATTTCTCATGTCGGTTACGCCTACGTAGGCACAGGTGTCCAATAGCCTACTATGCAAATTCATGTGCCTCATTCCATCAAGTGCTAATTGGCGCTCTGGTCTTCAAACTTAATCCTGGTCCTGAGGGATGCGGTATATCAACAATTGTGAAATCACGCCATTAAAATAATGGAACTTTACGGGCGCCTCAATCACGTTCTTCATTGTCTAAATCAACAACTGGGAATGTCTCAAACTTTACTAAAGTGCATTGTTTGTCTGCCAACTACGTAAATGGGGTCTTTTTATCATTTTGTCACATGAATGCCCAGTCGGTGCGTAACAAGACAGCCAATTTTGTAGATTACGTCTGTGAACGTAGATATGACTTGGTTGTGATTACCGAGACGTGGCTCCAGCCCCATGATGATGCGCTAAGAATAGAACTGTGTCCTCCTGGTTACAAGTTTATTGACTTTCCACGACAAGAACGGACAGGTGGAGGCATTGGACTACTGTACAAGGATTCACTTCGTGTTAGCACGACTCGAGATGGAATTCAAGAGTCGCTTGAATTTTGCGAGTTGTTGGTCCAAACGTCGACTTCCCACAAGATACAACTTGTGATCGTCTACCGTCCACAGAATTGTGATGACCACCGCAGGGTTCCCATTAACACTTTTCTGATGGAGTTTTCTGACCTGATGGAGTCCACTATTCTATCCAAAGAGCCTTTGATTGTCATTGGTGATTACAACATACATGTGGATGTTCCTAATGACACTGATGCACTTAAGTTTTTAGATCTGCTTGAGTCTCTCGGTTTGGAGCAGCATGTGACAGAGCCAACGCACATACGTGGTCACACCCTGGATCTTGTTATAACATGAAATATTGAGGATATTCTGGCGAGTCCACCACGCGCCTGTCGCTATTTCTCCGATCATGCAGCTGTACATTGTCATGTTGCCATAAGTAAGCCGTCATTTCAGACTAGGATAATAAAGTTTAGGAAAACTAAATCCTTGGACGCTGAGAGCCTATCGAACGATGTAGTACTTAGAGGGCTATGTGATCAAGGTAATAGCAATCCCATCACCCCACTGGATTTGGATGTACTTGTAGAGGATTACACGACCACACTCTCTCAAGTTCTTGATCGTCACGCACCTTTAAAAACCAAAACAGTGCGGGCTAGGCCCAAGGTACCCTGGTATACCAGTGAGATAGCCGAGGCAAAAAGGCGACGCCGGAAAGCAGAACGGAGATGGAGAAGAACACGATCACAGGAAGACTTGTTGGCATTCAAGAAACTCAAGAACCACGTTACTTATTTAAGTACACGGGCTAAGCATGCTTTCTACTCAGACTTTGTGAACGACAATAGTGAAAACCAACGAAAGCTATTCAGGGCCACTCGATCATTGTTACTTCCTAGGAATGAGTTGTGTTTTCCAGAATACACGGACAACTCAATCTTAGCCAACGATATCGAGCGGTTTTTTCACCGTAAGATTGCAAAGATTCGGGCAGAGCTTGATGCGTGTACTCTTCATCCTAGGGCGGTGGCTGAGGATAGAGTGTTTACAGGCGATAGGAAACTTGATCATTTCAATACGTATTCTGTGGATGATATAAGGAAGCTAGTCAGTAGATCATCGAAGAAAAGCTGTCAACTTGATCCTACGCCGACCAATTTAATAGTCGGCATGTCCGATATGCTTCTCCCCATCGTCACTAATGTCGTGAATTCTTCACTTTCCTTGGGACACTTTCCATCTGATTGGAAAACGGCCCTTGTGGATCCAAGACTGAAGAAGACCAAGCAAGGTATGGAGCGTTATTAGGGTCAAATTTAGAAAACAAATTATGTTATGGTGTTTGATATTTCATTTGGCCGAACTACAGAATTATGTTCCAGTGTTGCATGGAATTATGTTCGGCTCTTTTAACTTCAATAAAAAATGCAATAAACTATGTTCGGCTCTTTTAGAATTGTGTTGGGAGTATTTCACTTATAACTAGGCTGGCAGTTTTTTTGAGTTTAGTCCAATTTTGTTTGGCTCCTCCGAATTATGTTCGGCAAGTAGACTGGTAGCCTCGCGATAAGAAATTCACGAGGAGTCCCGGGGCGAGAAACATTTCCCGCGCTCTCTATAATTTATTCTAATTATTACCAGTGTTCCTGTACTGTTCTGTCGAACATGGCGGACAACAAACGTGGAAGAGGCGATTGCGACGAAAACCAAGAAAATCGAAACGAATGCAAAAGTGCTAAAGCAATTAAACTTCTACGGGAAGTTACCTCGCTTCTCAGTGAGGGTGATAGCGAACCATATCAACCGGCAGCTGAACAGATTAGTCAAGCACATGGTCAGGTTGGAGCAAGTGGTATTGTGCAAAATTTCCGCAAACTGTTTGCCCCCTACAGTGTTCATAACAGTACTCCTTTGTCATCTTCGAGGCAAACCAAGAGGAACTATCCGAAACCAAAACTATTTCAGCCAAAAGAAACGTGGACACACGAGTTCTTCTGTTTGGCTGCGAAAGACCAGTCCCGAGCTCCAACAAGAGCAGCCAAATTCGCCTTCAACGAAAAATCGACAGATTTTGAGGATTTCCAGGAAAAATTTTTAGAAGCCTGTGAGAATTATATTGGTTATGGTTCCATTTAATTCTAGACATGGACTTTGTAAGGATCTCTTTTTATTTATATTGTTACAGTTTATAAGCCACTAGTTTTGACTGCATTGCTCACGTTAATCACTGTTGAATTTTGAAATGTAACAAATGTATCTCCTCTGCCAGCTTGTCAGAGTGTAGTCTCGGCCATGATGATGTTTTTTTTTCTTCGGTTATTCAAAAGTAAAAATCTAGCGCCGGGACTTGAAATGAAAAATGTTATACCACAGGCCACCTTTGGAATGTTTTGGTTTGGTCGAGCATTTGTTAGAAGCAAATATAAGAACTCTTTCTAAGTTAAAAAATGGATGTGACAGACCATTAGTGTTTTCAAGAAATGGATGTCATTATCAGTAATTACAAGTTCTTGCACCTTTTTTAACGGTGGTACATATTTGGATGTTTTATTAAACTCATTTCATTCATATAATTTGTCCCTTTTTTTTTAATCTTTAACTGCTCGTTGCTGTTTCTTGAAGAAATGTTAGTACCTCCAGGTAGATGTCAACTCCATATTCATCACTGTTGCGTAGAGGGTTAATTAAGTTTGTGAGTGATGATTACTGAGCTGGTTCCAGTGGGTTTGTTGTGTTGGGAACTTCAACTGGAGTTTCATCATCTAAGCTAACATCTGGTGCAGGGCCATCCCAGTCAACACCATAGTAGTCACCCTGAAAAACTTGTAAACAACACATTTCATGATGGCTGTATGCCACACGCATGTTGTGAACCAATTTACTGCGAAGTACTTCTTGTTAATAAAAAAAATTGCAATTAATCTGTTATTGTTTCTTCATAATCCTGGAAGAAAATTGTTCATGGAGACTACTCAGGTAGATTTATTCTCCAAGCTACTTTACATGTAAGAGCTATTATTGTGACTGCACTTTTGGAAACAAGCTGAAAGGTTGTACTTCTCCACTTGTGTCGACCACAAATTGGATAACATGAGAAACAAGTCTGAAAATCACTATAACATTGCATGAATATCAAAACTATAACAGATTCTTGCAAAGTCCTTATCCCTCCCTCCCCACCCTTCCCTTTTCAAAACACACCTGACTCCAGAATTCATCAATTCCACGATTTGAAGCTGAGACAGCACCAGAGATCCACAGTTGAAGAGGACTCTTTCCCCTCTCTGTAGAGATGGGAGCCCTGTTATGCCCTTGGGCAAATAATTGCATTGTTTGGTTAATTCTTGGAACATACACAAAGTGAAGGGTAAATAAATGAAGCTCATTTTGATGCGTCAAGCATTCCAGAACGTTCCATTGCATAGAAAAGGTTGTAGTATACATGAAGACACCCACAAAAAAGGTCTCTCCAAAGACGTTCTATTCTTTGGTTATGTACGCTTCGCCCAGCAATATGGCTCCCTCTATCACGTCTGCGCAACGGGTGACTCAACATGTAACGTGCAACGTCTACATTCTCGCCACCCTTATCGGACCGTACTCTTGAAGGTAGACCAAAACTCCCAACTGCTTGGAGAAAGCAATCGAGTACCGTACTTGCCACATTTCAAAAAAACAATCATTCTCGAGAAGCCGTCAATTCTGCCATGTATTACAAATCGCCATCTGAAAATTAACAAACAGTCAAAACCTTTAACTATCCTGGTCTCTGATGACTCTCCGACCCCACCACCCATACCCTTGTCGTTGTGTTTGATAAGTATAGAAACCACCAAATTGTGGAACAATGTGCAGGTAAGTTTTTGCGACTTCAAAATTGTTAGATATCGTTAGTTTTGTTAGTGTTCATACCTTGTGTACAGTTCTCACCGTACACAAGGTGTGAACTGCTTGGCATATAACGAGGTTTCATACATTTACCTTATTAGTTTATGATTCCCGTCGATATGCCACAAGGCAAGAGGGCCACTAATTTCATATCTTCTCCGGTGAACAGTTCGCAGCTCAAGGACTCTCAGGAGGACGCCCTCGGGATTGACTCTTCTCATACACTCCCTGATGCGATTTTGCTGGATTCTATGACCTGAATTGAGCAAGAGGCCTGTCATCCTCTTGTAGCCACAATTGGGAAATTCTCTCATTAATTCTTCAACAAGGCCATCCAAAGTTTCATCAGTAATGTTTGAATATCTTTGCCTCACAAATGTTTCATACTCACGAATTCTTCGTTTAACAGTGCTTTCACTGACACCAAGCAGAGATGCAATCTCTCCAGATTTAAACCCCAAATCTAACAAAAACTCGAGCTGATCCTTTGCAATGATAATGCGTGGTCTTCCTCGCTCGCCAGTAGTTGCAACCTCTGCTTGAAACGCGACGTTCTCACTACAACTACCATTCTCATTTTCTCTAAGCAGTTCTTTCGCTTCTTGAATAAGGGCCAGTACTGCCTTCCCAGAAGGGATATTGTCACAATAACGTTACTCAGTCGGGTTTGTATCCCATTCTCCAGTCAGCCTATCGACTTGGTCATAGCACAGAGACTGCCCTATTGAAGATACAGAATGACATACTAGCTGCAATGGACAATCAACGAGTTACTCTTTTGGTATTGCTAGACCTGAGTGCAGCATTTGACACGATTGACCACCAAGTGTTGTTGAATCGCCTGTGCGTGACGTATGGAATTACAGGTACCGCTCTTAAATGGTTTCACTCGTATTTATCAAACAGGAAACAGCGAATCCTGATTAACGGGAGCTATTCGAGTGACTTTGATCTGCCTCAAGGGGTACCTCAAGGATCATGTCTTGGTCCCTTGCTCTTCACATTGTACGCAAGTAAGCTCTTCGATGTTGTTGAATCCCATCTCCCTAACTAGAGCACAACGCAACATTAGATGAGAGATCTGGACACTAGTTATGATTTGCCCGATAGGTGCCTGGCGCGAGCCACTTGTAACAAGCTGTACTTTGCACATGTTTCTATCATTCTCTTACGAGGATGCTCGCCTTTCTAGGATAAATCTCTCGATGAAATAGACAAAGTCTTATCTATGATAGAAACATACTTCAACACGGATTGATCTGGCGAACGAGACACCGGTTGCAAGCGGACTACCCAGTAATACGTCGAACAGAGGAGAACGCGGCCGTCGATCGCCGATCGACCGCCATCTTTGTTTTCTTCCCGGACTACAATAGTACGCAATGTCGAAGAAATACAAATGCCCATTCCCCGAATGCACCTACGAGACAGAGGAAGTTACAGACGCTGCCATGTCAGTCCTTCTATCAGTGCACTCTTCGGGAGTACATGTCACCCAGGAACAGTGAACACGATCAACCCCAACAGTAGCACGAAAACTCGAAAGAGTACGCCGCCTGACAATTTCGCAGCGGGATCGAGTGAGGATTGGTCGTATTTTCTAACGCGTTGGGATTATGTTGCGGCAACTAATGTCACCGGCAAAGAAAAGGTAATCCAGCTCCTCGAAAAGCTGCGATGAACAACTTCGCAAAGACCTGACAAGAAACGCGGGCGGTTCCCACCGACAAAACCGCAGATGAGGTCATGGCAGCCATAAAAGAGCTTGCAGTACGGGAGGAGAACGCAATGGTCGCCCGTGTGCAGCTACACAACATGCGGCAAGACCGGGATGAGACGATCCGTAGTTTTGGTGCCCGCCTTCGCGGCCAAGCTGGTGTTTGCAAGTTTTTAGTCACTTGCCCTGGCTGCAACATAGAGGTCAACTATACGGAAAACGTCCTTCGCGATGTCCTCACACGTGGCCTGGCTGACAGCGAAATCCAATTAGACCTGTTGGGGGAACGAAACCAAGACATGAGCCTTGAGGAGGTGTTCCAATTCATTGAGGCAAAAGAGGCCGGCAAACGGTCAGCAGGCCGCCTGTCACAAAGCCACAGTACAGACGCCGCACAAAGTCAGTATCGTCGTGCCAAAAATGATGAGGTCAAGCAACGTAAGGATGGGGACGCGAACGAACTGTGCTCTTATTGCAACAAGAGAGGGCATGGCAAGAGCGCCACCGACCAGAATCCGCCGTCATGACTGCCCAGCTTATGGCACCATCTGCAACAAGTGTGGACGGCAGAACCACTTTGCCAGCGTTTGCCGCAGCAGGGGCAAAAGCAACAGGCCCCAACAGCCGCCGACACCCATTGGCAAGAGCAGAGAAACGGAAAGCGCAATTTTTGACTCACTTTGCACCACAACTAGCCTCAGCAGGCCAAGCAAAGGAGTCATCTCACTCGACCACCACCTCTACTGCCACCTAACCGATCACTGGGTTCGACAGCCATCCAAGCCTCAACCGTTCATAACGCTTTTTTACAGCGACAGCCCATCCTGAAGACTACACAGCCCTTGGATACAACCCACCCAAATCACAGTTGGCAACAGCACAACTCTCTGCTATGGCTGACACAGGCTGCCAGAGCTGCTTGGCTAGCATAAAAGTCATCCGTTGCCTGGGCCTCTGTGAGAGTGACCTGATACCCGTCACTATGAAAATGCACGCTGTGAACAACAAAGGGATCAGCATCCTGGGCGCAGTCATCTTAAGGTTCTCGGGCAGGTCTCCATCCGGAAAAGCCCTGGAAAGCCGACAGATCGTATATGTGACAAGCGACTCAGACAAACTTTTCCTCAGCCGAGAGACATGCATGGCACTGGGCATTATCACTAAGAACTTCCCCATGTTGGGGGAGACCCTAAACACATGCAGCTCAATCGAGCCAGACACAGCCTGCAATGCAACTGCACCAACCCCGTCAGACAGAGATATGCAAACTTCTGAGGGCTCAGACAGCCCCCCATGCACCTGCCCGCGTCGCATCACACCGCCACCGAAGCTCACAACCACCCCTTTCCCAGCAACAGAGAACAGTCGGATGAAGATGCAACAGTGGCTGCTGGACTACTACCGAACCAGCACCTTCAATACATGCGAGCACCAGCCGCTACCCCTAATGGAGAGCATCCCTATGAGGCTAATGGTTGACCCCCAAGCGAAACCAGTCGCACACCACAACCCCATACCAGTGCCACTTCACTGGCAAGAGGAGGTAAAGGCAGGACTCGACCAGGACGTCTCACTGGGTGTCCTCGAACCAGTGCCAGTAGGAGAACCCGTCACCTGGCGCCACCGCATGGTTGTATGTGCTAAAAAGAATGGCAAGCCCCGCCGCACAGTCAATTTCCAGGCGCTCAACCTCCACGCGACACGTGAAACCCACCACACGCAAAGCCCCTTCCACCAGGCACGTTCAATCCCAAGCAACACCAAAAAGACCGTGTTTGACTGTTGGAATGGTTACCACAGCGTTCCCCTCCATGAGGACGATCGACACCTCACCACCTTCATCACTCCATGGGGTCGCTACCGCTATAAAACAGCACCTCAAGGCTACATAGCTTCTGGCGACGGCTACTCAAGACGGTTTGATGAGATCGTGTCCCACGTTCCTAACAAGACCAAATGCATCGACGACACCCTTCTCTGGGCAGACAACCTTGACCAAAGTTTCTTCCAGGCGGTTGACTGGCTCAACCTCTGCGGACACAATGGTATCATACTTAACCCAGACAAGTTCGTCTTCGGAGCCGACACTGTCGAATTCGCAGGATTTGAGATCACCCCAAGCTGTGTGCGGCCATGCAAACAATACCTTAATGCCATCCGCAACTTTCCAATCCCAGCCAACATCACGGATGTCCGCTCCTGGTTTGGCCTGATCAACCAGGTCTCCTATGCCTTCGCAGCGACTGAGCGCATGTTGCCATTCCGCCAGCTCCTCCAGCCCGGCACCCCTTTCCAATGGACCGACGAACTGCACACACTCTTTGAAGAATCCAAATCAGTGATTATCAGTGAAATCGAAGAGGGTGTGCGTATCTTTGACAAATCTAAACCAACCTGCCTGGCAACCGACTGGTCCAAAAGCGGCATCGGATTCTGGCTGTTCCAGAAACACTGCCAGTGCCCATCCCCGAACCCTTCTGTTGTCGTACAGGCTGGAAGATCACTTTGGTTGGGAGCCGTTTCACACACGCCGCTGAATCACGCTATGCCCCCAGTAGAGGGCGAAGCCCTAGCCGTTGCCGACGCGCTTGACAAAGCACGATTTTTGTCCTGGGTTGCAGTAACCTGATCATTGCTGTCGACCACAAGCCCCTCCTAAAAGTGTTTGGAGACCGGTCCCTTGAAGATATCACCAACGCCCGGCTCCGCAACCTCAAGGAGAAAAGCTTACGTTACCGGTTCAGAATGGTACACATCCCTGGCGTGCGACACAAAGCTGCCGATGCTGTATCCCGCCATCCTACGGGAACCACCAAACCAGACCTGCTAGTCTTGCCAGACGACATAGCCGCGGCAACCGCAACCCTGGCCGCTCTCCCGCAATTAGATAACTCCGGACGCTCCTTCTTGGCCGGCATCCGCCACACCGAACCACAACCGGGCACTTGCTCCATCACCATTGACGACCAGCTAGCCTCATCAGCCTCATCGGCATTAAACACTATTGCCGTCACATGGGATAGGGTCAAGCTGGCCACAACAAGCAGCAGGGCAATGACCCAGCTAATTCATCTTATCGAGACTGGATTCCCTAAATCCCGTAACGAGCTACCACCTGCCCTTCGGGAGTACCATCAATTTCGCGAACACCTCTATACAGTTGATGGCATCATCCTCTACAAGAATCGCATCGTGATACCACCCTCTCTCCACCAGCATATTCTGACTGTCTTGCACTCAGCCCACCAAAGTGTGACTTCCATGACAGCACGCGCCGAAAGCACAGTGTTCTGGCCAGGCATCACCCCAGCCATCATTGCCCTACGGGAAACCTGCAACCACTGCAACCGCATGGCACCCTCTCAACCGAGTTCACCGCCCTCTCCAGTTGTACCACCAGCCTACCCGTTCCAATGTGTTTGCGCCGACTTCTTTCACTACAAAGGGGTTACCTACCTTGTTATCGTAGACCGCTACTCCAACTGGCCCCTCGTTGAGCGAGCAAGAGAGGGATCTACAGGCCTGATTGACTGTCTCACGACGAACCTTTGCCACATTCGCATCCCAGACAGACTTCGCAACAGATAGCGGCCCTGAATTCACAGCAACAGCCACACGCCAATTCCTGAAAGACTGGGGCATACACCACTGTCTGTCGCCGGGTGGCATTCCCACACTCAAATTGCAGGGCAGAGATTGGCGTCAAATCAGTCAAACGGTTCATCACTGACAACACCACCCCATCTGGTAGCCTAGATACTGACTCCTTCCAGCGTGCAGTCCTTCAATATCGAAACACACCCGACCCGAATACTCAGCTATCCCCTGCACAATGTGTCTTCGGCAGGCCAATCAAGGACTTCATACCTATCTTACCTGGTCGCTACCAACCACACCCTACCTGGCGTGACACCCTCGCGACAAGAGAGGCAGCACTAAGAAACCGCCACATGAAAGCTGCAGAGAGATGGTCTGAGCACACCAAGCGACTCCCACCCCTGGCCGTTGGTAACCATGTTCGCATCCAGAACCAAACAGGCCCCTACCCCACTAAGTGGGATAAGACAGGAGTCGGGGTCGAGGTTCGCCAATTCGACCAGTATGTCATCCGCATCGACAGCTCAGGGAGGATGACTACCCAAAACCGCAAGTTCTTAAGGAAATACCTCCCGCACGGACCACACCACCCCACCTAACAATTGATGACGACCTGCGCCATCTTGCTATGCTGCCACACAGACCGCCCAAGCCAATCACCCCCACCCCAGCACAAGCAAGGATGCCCCCACAACCATCCCCTGCACAGCCACTAACTGGGCCAACCCCGGCAGCAGTGACACCTGACCACCACAGCCCCAGCCCAAAGCCAAATGCACCACAGATACAACTTAGCAACCAAACACCTTCCCCATCTCCTGAGCACCCCTCGACAGCAACTCCACGAACGCACGTGTCCAGCCCCCAAGCAGATCCATTGGTGCCGTCAAGCCCGCCCAAAACCCCAGAACGACCAAAGAAACCTCCCTTAGCCCCCAAGGCCGGCTACGGGACTTTAACTCCAAAGGACTATTGGAACAGTGACTTAGTCATTAGATCCATGAGACAGTCAAATGACACTATTCCATATTTAGTTTTGTTCTTTAATTCAAATTAACATTTGTGTTCTTATCAGTCTTAACTATCCCCCATATGCAAGCATGAGGAACACTAAAGACTTGGGGAGAGATAGAGCACAACGCAACATTAGATGAGAGATCTGGACACTAGTTATGATTTGCCCGATAGGTGCCTGGCGCGAGCCACTTGTAACAAGCTGTACTTTGCACATGTTTCTATCATTCTCTTACGAGGATGCTCGCCTTTCTAGGATAAATCTCTCGATGAAATAGACAAAGTCTTATCTACTAACGTTCACGCATACGCTGATGATACGCAGCTCTATATCTCATTTAAGCCAGATGGTTCTGCTACTGAGACGGATGCTGTTGACGCTCTACAAGCTTGCATCGGGGACATAAGAACCTGGATGGTCCAAGACAAACTTCGGCTGAACGATGCTAAGACTGAGTTTCTTATTATAGGTACACGCGCACAGTTAAATAAGGTTATGATAAGTGACTTGCAAGTAGGTAAGGTAAAGGTTTCTGCGGTTTACTCTGTTAGAAACCTGGGTGCTTGGTTTGATGCAAACATGAATATGACCACACATATTAACAGCATATGTCAGAATATTTATTACCATCTACATAACATTCGGCGTATTAGAAAGTATTTATCATATGATAATAGGAAGTCCATTGTACAGGCTATTATAATGTCACGATTAGACTATTGTAACGGTCTATTATATGGTACGCCCGCTGGTCATCTTGGTAAGCTGCAATGCCTGCAGAACGCGGGTGCTCGGCTGGTATGTACTATATCTAGGTATGATCCTATCACACCATCCCTGATCAACCTGCACTGGCTTCCAGTTACCCACAGAATAGAATTCAAGATAGCAATGCTAGTTCACAAATGTATCTACGGTGTCACACCACAATATCTTTCAGACTTGATAAAAATCAAAGAGAGCTCGCGGTATCAGTTGAGATCATACCGGGGTTAGGGTTCCTAATGGACAATACCTATAGAACAAAAAAGACACTCGGGGATAGGGCATTTGAAAATGCTGCGCCCAAAGTATGGAATCGACTCCCTCTAGAAATTAGGCAATGTCAATCATTGAACATTTTTAAAGTTTTACTAAAGACACATCTTTTTAAATTAGCTTTTTATTAGTTCTTTTATTAACTCATATTTTACTTTTATTGTTTTCCGAAAATTGTAAATTATTATTATTATTATCATTATCTGGACTAGCCATTTATTACTTTAAGATTTTAGTGTTGTAATGCGCACTCGATCATATCTTTATCGCATGCTAGACTGCGCAATATAAGAAATAAACATTATTATTATTATTATTATTATTATAAACAGTAATGCAAGGCATTATGATCTTAACCATAGTAAATTACAAAATTATCACAATTATTATTGGAATTTTCCCCTATGTTCACCTGATACCTATCAAAGCAACAAATACCAATCATAAGTTACTTGTTTCAACAGTTAATATACTCCTGATTCTTCAGTAGCAAGTCAGATTCAGATCTCGGCACCCTTTTTCCAGACCGCACCCTTATCAACTGGAGGAATGTAACTGGTGATCCTCATTCTTCTTTCAGAGCAAATGGGGACTTTCTCCCTGTCATTTTCCTGTCACAATGTTATCACAGCTGCATGACAGTGTTGGGATTTGCTGACAAATCAAGTGCCCCAGAACACTACCCCCTGCCAGAAGACATGGAGAAATTGAGAAAAGCCCAAAAACTTGAGTACCTCCATGGCATCTCTGAAAAGGAGGTTGATTCTTTCATTTTCCAGTCAGAAGAACAAATGCAAAAACTAAAAGCTGAAGAAGAGATAGACATTTTGCAGCAGCAAGAAGTTACTGCTAAGGGAAGATTTCCCTGCAGATTCCCTGGATGCAACAAGTCATTCAAGTACAATGGCAAAACCAGAAGGAACCATGAACTGTTCCATCATCCACGTGTTCAGTTTAAGGATTCCATGATAATGACTCAATCTTCACCCGAATGCACAGCCCTTCAAAAAGAAACAAAAGCAGGTGATGATGTATACAACTATAACTGTGCAATTCTACCAGACTGCTTTTTATTTTTTAATTTTCTTAACGCTATTAAAGAAGGGGATGGAGAACGAATTGTGCAGCAATACAAGTACATCATGCTTTCTTGTAAGGCCAATGGCTCACATAGCACCAAGTATGCACTAGAATGTTTAACTCAGTTTTTCTTTGTGTTTGCACTGTTGTCGCAAAGAGACAGTAAGCAGTTTGTATGGAACCGCTCTGTAAACAACAGTGGTAAAAAAGCTGCTTATATCCCAATTGATGAAGACACGGAACATGAGAGCAATGCCATAAAGCAAGGCATTAGAAATATTGGGCCTTATGTCACTGAGAATGCTGTTCAAAGAATATATTTTCCACGACGTCCAACAGCATCAATACTGAGCAACCTTGTTAATAGCATCAAATGACAGTTGCCATCAGGCAAACACTCTCATGGAAATCTGGAAAGGGACTTAAATATGCTCATCAAAAGAGCATTTGAATTTAAAATATTCAGTGAGGTCAAGGGATGCAGTTACTAAATACTTAACAGCTTCCAGAGAGACAGACTTGCCAATTTGGATGTGTCTAGTTTGCACCATTAGCTAAGAAAAAACGCAAGAAAACATCATGTGGGGAATAGGGCAAGATGAACATTGACAATAAATTTAATTTGCAAATTAACCAGAAAGCTTTACAAGAAACATTTTGTACTTCAACTGACTTTAATTACTGAGTGAAAAAAAGAGAGCCATTTTTGTCTTTTTTAGCTAGTGGACAGTTCCCCCACCCCCTTTTAAATATGGCAGGAATCAATACTCTCAATTTTTTGTCACTTTTGAAATCAAGACGGTTGAGTTTTTGTCAACACCTTTGAATATACTGTCTCTGGGAATAAATTTTGTAGGATTCTTTGAAGGAAAAATCCAAACTCACTTTTCCAATATAACACGGCTATCATACTTAGCAGTGGTAGAGTCATACAGATAAAAAATGGAACATCTCATAAGCACTCCAGTCTCAGTTTTCCTTTAGGAATAACCATAACCTCTTCCTTGTTAATGACAATGTTGTTGTAGCTTTGTACAATAGAATCTAATTTGTTGAACCCTCAGTTCCTTCACCCTTCTGATAAGATAAAAAAGGACATTCCAGGCTGTCTCAGAAATGAGAAATTGAAATAAGAGGGATAAGATTTAGATTTAATGTCCCTTATAACACAAACAGACTAGTTTTCAGAGCTGTCACTTATTGCCAGGGGCTGGGGATTTCCTCCTGTTACTATAAGCATGACCATTGGTTATTTTTTGTAGGAAACAAAAGGAAAATGAGACCAAAAGGACTCCCTGGCTGTTCAGTTCCCCAACTACCGACTACATATACCTAGTAACTTGAAATCTTAGTAGCAACCCTGAGTTGGATTGTCATGATGATCTGCAACGGTTCAGACATTGTTTTCAAACTATATTGTATCATCAATTAATCTTGCAATTGGGCACAGATTGAAATAACTATCAAGGTTTAACAAAAGTACATAATAATGACTGTAACGAGTACGCTTACATGAAGCATTGAGCTTCCTGTGGCCGCATGGCATCTTGGGAACAGCTCCCTCATGTGTCGGCCATGTTATTAGCATAGTAAATTGTAGCTCTGTTCTTGGGTTAAATATAAGTTGATGTTTTGGTACCTGACTGCCTGTTTAGCTATCGTTACAATGACTTTCATATATTCTTAACCATTTAGTACATAATAAACTTGCAATTATCATAACCAATGGTGTTGTTATTGAAGTCAACATTATTAATTAAGGTTTCTCTGCTTCTTAGCTGGACTTTGTAGGCCTTTCTACAGTTCCTGGCGCCATCTTGGAATAGTAACTGTGCAAACATCATGTTGAGGCTAACGTTGAGTCGCATTTCGTATCTGGTGTGTTTAACAGAGAATCTACACCCATCTTTGCTTTTTCTCCGGTTTTGTCCTGCTTTTTTTCGCCATACTTTTCGATAATGAACAGCAATAATACCCACCAAGATACTCCTCCGTCGATTTCGAAGAAAAGAGGGAAACAGTGTGCCGTTTACGGCTGTCACAACAGCTATTACAATGACAAGGGGCTCTTCGCCGGTTACCATTGTAACCTTATAAAGCGGCAACATGGAAAGGATGACTTCAATGTAACTGCTGCAACTGTTGTTTGCAGTGAACATTTTAGACAAGAAGATATTATAAGAAAATTGACCCGCAGGTACTTAAAGAAAGGTATGTGACATGCAAAATAGATATAAAAAAGTCATATATAGTAAATATTTCATTACAGCTGCATTATCAGCTAAGTTTTTGTTCCTTTGTACATTAAGCTTTAAAATTGTAACACTGTATAGCTTTTGACTGAAGGTTGGCCCTTCACATCGAAGGAAATATAGTTACCCCAATACAACATTTCAATACCATTGGATTACTGTTGTGCATCATTAATTGTAACAAATTCCCTAGTGCCATATAGATGTACTGAGATCAAAAACATTTAAACTGACATTACAGTTAAGTATTTTTCATAACTGTATCAAAATGACCATTAACACCACAACATGTTCATTTATTATGGTCATGTAATTATTTTGATTTTTATTGCATTTTGTTTTAAGGTGCTGAGCCATCTCAGTTTTCATGGAGCATGCCAAAAAAGTCTCGAAAAGCTCCTCCAAGGCAAACCCAGACTAAAGTAGTTTTAGCTCAGGAAATGGATGTTGCAGACTCCTCGGAAGTCACTGAAGACGCAATAATCATATCAGTGCCACCTGAAATAGTTTCCACCGCAGTCAGCAGCAGTCAATGTTCAAATTCATTAGCTAATGATCTGGATCGAGCTGAAACCTCTAAAGGCAATGTTGTTGAACAACTACAGAGGCATATTACATAACTGGAACTAAAGTTAGCTGATCGTGAAGAAAAGTTGGCAGAGATGGAAAAAGAGAATGAGATTTTGCTAGGGCGCCAATTTTCCTTAGACAAAATAAAGGATGATAATTCAGCAATCCTATTTTACACTGGGTTTCCTGGCTATGAAGCACTGATAAGTTTTTTCAAGTATCTTGAGCCAAAATTGGGGAAAATGCAGTACTGGAAAGGAGAACACTTAGTGAGAGAGAGCCAGCCTTATCAAGAGGATGAAAATAGAAATAAGCCTGGACCTTCCAGGAAATTAACATTTCTTGATGAATTTCTTTTAGTATTGATGCGACTGAAGGCTGGATTATTCGTGCAGGACCTTGCAGACAGGTTTGGTGTTAGTACAAGCCTTGTGTCCAGAATATTTATAACCTGGATCAATTTGTTGTACTTGGAACTCAAAGACCTTTTCCCTTTTCCATCACAAGAGTTGGTACGCAAAAACATGCCAGATGAGTTTGCCGAGTTTGCAACAACTAGAATAATATTGGACTGCACGGAGATATTCATTCAGCGTCCCTCTGCCATGCTTGCGCAGTCTGAAACTTGGTCAGACTACAAGCACCACAATACTTGGAAGCAACTTGTGGGAATCACTCCAAATGGGCAAGTCACCTTTCTTTCGGACCTCTGGGGTGGGCAGGTGTCGGACAAACAGATAACCAGAGAAAGTGGAGTGCTAGATTTATTGAATAGTGGTGACAATGTTATAGTTGACTGTGGCTTTGACATAAAGGACATTGTACCTGATGGTGTCACGGTTAATATGCCCCCTTTTTTAGCGGGACGAGATCAACTGACTGCATCAGAGACAGAGGAAACTATGACCATCACCTCTGTGCGAATACACGTGGAGAGGGCAATTGGTAGGATCAAGACTTACCATATTTTGGATGGGAACTTACCCAACACTTTAAGCCCTTACGCAACACAAATAGCCACAGTATGTGGACTATTGACAAATTTTCTTCCTCCATTGCTGCCCCCTGCAAAACCAAAACCCTAAATTCTTTTTTTATTACCAGTAACTTTATTTTGTTTACACACCTAAAATGATTTCTGGTATGTTTATCACTGATTTTGCAACCCCTAGACAATCAGATGGGAGATAAAGCAACAAACACAAATTTCAAGAAACAAGATAATTAAATTGACAGTGTGGTTTCTTGAAGTTACGTTTTGTGGTTTGGTCTCTCTCCTGAGTGGCTCTTAGCTACTGTTGCTTAACTTTGGGGTTCTGTTATTTTAAGTGGAAAAGTGTATTGGTACTCTCCCAACACATTCAATATACCCATGACAAAATAAGTCTTAGTTTTATAAAGTTGTTGACTGTAACTAATGTAACACCTAGGTGACAATTCAAGTATTGTCAGTTCAAACTTCACTCAATAGAAGTGCAAATTCATCCTGCAAGGTGATTTGCTTGTGTCATCAAGGTTCTTATGGGTACAGTTTTAGCACTGTTACATGAAAGGAAAAGTAATGGTTGTAGTTATATATGATGTAAATTTACTACAGAATAATTGTTTACAATTGCCTTTGAAATCGCATTTTCAAACCAGTACTTGTGCAGCAATATTGGCCATATGGCAACCAACCTCCATGCAGGTATAGAATCTTACCCCGCTGCACTCGTCTGGTAATGAGCTCAGGGAAAAGAGCACATCTGTAAAAGAAATCTATCTTTGGCAGGGAGTCACTGATCCAAGAGTTGTCCAAGTAAATTTTCTCCACAAATAGTGGTCTACTCTCTCCAAAGTATACTACAAGAATGATCCCTTTAAGATCCAAGTTAGAACAGTAGAGCTGCCCTTGAGTTTGTACATAATAATCATGATTTCGTTTTAACCTTACAGTTCCATCAGCAAGTTTCTCTAGAAAAAAAGGTTTTTTTTGGCAGGCTTCTTCGATAGTCATGCCTGCTTTGCTTAAAGGAGATTTAATTTCCATCCCCCATTTTTCGTGAGTATCCTTAATGGTTACAATCCTGTCTATGCTTGCCCCCAGGTATGGCTTGTCCTTGGACACCAGTAGCCCAATTTCCTCAACAGTAACATCAAGGCCATTCTTTTCCATTTCCCTCATGTAAAGGGTCACTGCCTTTGCTTCACTTTCGATGCCATATTGAGTAGCATCTGTAGTAAAGTTCGAGTAGAGGATTGGTTTCAACTTATTTGAAGGTTCCACTTTGTTCTTAGCTGCTTTTCCAAAGTTTTTGTATATCGTGACAATATAAGTGCTTATCGTTTAAGGAACACGGAAAACAAATTAGTTCTTCCACAACCTCGAACTGATTATCTTAAGAGAAGTTTTTTGTACAGCGGAGCTCACATGTGGAACGACTTACCCTTAGACCTAAGACAAGCGTTGATTGGGTGATCTTGGATCAAATTTTATAACCTTCGACTGAAGACGAATATTTTTCTTACCAAATCGTATCTTTCTGATTAGCACTTGGTTGAGAGGTTTAGCTGCAACGCTTTGGTTGGGGGGTACAACCCACACAGACAGCCGCGATGTGCATGACAAAGGCTCGGCATGCCTTTGTAATCCCCTTCTCGTAAAATCTTCAATCGCAAACAACACTCCTCCAACGTGGTTACATTTACCTTTTCCGGATAAACCAAGTCCAGCCGGACACATGCATGCCGCTCACTCGTTATCCTCTAGGACAAGTAGCTTCAAGAGATCCAAAAGGTCAACAGAGGCAAAGTCATTTAATTTTTGTTTGGCAATGTATGAGAGAGTAAGCACACTAAGTTTCTCCTTTTCAGTGAATTCTTTCACAGAATCATTGCATGCTGTTTGCAATTGATTTTCATCATCCTCTATGTCTAAAAAAAACTCTAAATGTTATTTCTGTGGTTAAGATGAGCTATAATCATCATTCAACATGTATGTTAATGTAGTCATATTGTATTGTTTATTAGCACAGGTTAATGTACTGGTTAATGTATTCTTCATCTTGCTCTATAGGTAGATTTTTGTTGCTTAAAGTGCAGTATGTCTTCCTTTTTACATCACTTCCAGTACACTGTCCTTTAACAATGTTATGTTCTAATTCTACAATATCAATGTTTATGTTATGAATGTCATCAATTTCTGTTATTGTAGTTGCTTTGTTTGTATTGACATACTTAATATCATCAAATGTGCAAACTGTGAGATTTTTCAAATTCTCTCTTGGCTATAATGTTTATGCAACCGATTGAAGTTTTTGCGGTTGCCATGTTGTTCCTTCAGGTACAACGGAATCCGATGAAACAAAGAAGTCAGTGCCCCATTAGTTGGCCATCTTAAAGGCAAATAAAAAGAGGAAAACCACTTCTGATGTATTTGCAAAGTTTGATAAAGTGTTTGAGTCCTTTGCGGAGTATCAGCAAGTGCTGACAAGAGCTTCCTTGAACCTGAAGCGGCAAGAGAGGGGTGAGACGAGGAAAGAGCAGAGAAACAAAGAAAGTAGGATCAAGAATTTCTCCTGAAACAGGCGCAGGTTCTTCACCAGTAAAACCAAGTAAAACCAAGTAAGTACCTGCATCAGTTTCCATTTCGGTATTGACATTTTGTGCAAGCTGTTAAAAAAAATTAGACTAGCTTCTGAGCAATTTTGAAGCGTTCATTCCTTTAAATTATATTTCTTATAGTTCATTTCATGGCATCTGAATTATATTTGTGACATCGTGACAATTGCGTTACCCTTTAGTCTCGTGATCAGTGATGCGCAACAACGCCTAGTAAGCAGATCTCGTTTATAGTTTAGTGTCGATGGTGCTCTGGTTTCTCGGTATCACCCAAGTTTCTTCGAGACTTCTTATTTCACGTTTCTTTCACGTCGTTGTCCGCCCCGATCGGGATAGAGGTATGTTCATGTGACATTGTAGCGCTCCTAGGTTATGTTTATTGTTGTACATTTGATTTAAGTACTCGTTATTTGGTGATTTTACGAATGATCAATTCTGTTGTTGTTGTATTGTTTTCGGATCATTCACCTCGATGGTTTTCGCTTATTAGTTAAGCTCATGATAATTAAGTTTAGTTGGCCATTGTATGATTATTTTCAGTTTTTACGTGTTGGATCATAATAAAGGATTGCCATCGTGGTGTTGCAAAATGGTAAAATATGGTTCAACTCAGTTTGTAAACCTATCGCCGCTGTTATAATATTGTTAATTAATTTGCTGTTACTTATTGCTAAAACTGTATAGCTTGCATTTTTTTGTGGTTTTATCTCACATGTGATTGGTAAATACACAATTAAAATGTCAAAGTCAAAAAATATTGAAGTGTTCATGATTTTTGGATTCACATAGTACATGTAATAGCTAAAATCTTTCTTTAATTAAACTTGCATGACCATAGAATTTCTAGCTACAACAATTTTATAACCAAAATTTAAAACAGGTCTGCACAGTAGTTCATGTTAGTCAATAAAGTTGTTGTTTTGTTTTGCTTTTTAGTCGCTTGGCTCACAATCTCTTATTGGGCAGGTTAGGAAGGTTGCATGATGAGCCAAAAGAATGTCTGCATGGGATTCTATTCACACAGTAATTAGCTTCTCTGATGGCTACAGCATTCCTGTTTTGTCCTTGGTTTGGGTTAACTGGGAAAACACCAAGATGGAGCTGCACATCTTGCAGCCACTCCTCATTTAAGTCATCACCCATGACCTCACAGAAGTTGTGCAACACACAACAAGCAGCAATGACAAGACAAACAGTCTCAACATTAAGGTCGACCCTCTTCGCGATGCTTCTGAACCTACCCTTCAGTCTTCCATAGGCATTCTCAACCACCACTCTTATCATGCTCGGGATCTTGTTGAAATTCACTTGTTCTCCCATTAAGTTCCCATTACTGTATACCGCTTCATTAGCCAGTCACTGAGCGCATATGTGGAGTCTCCAACTATCAAGGGCAGAACTCTCACACATGATATGACTCAAGATAATTGAAGCGGTAGGAAAGTCCTCCCACAGCAGTAGGAAAACAGCGGTGAATTTTTAAATAAGTGCGCATTGTGAACTTTTGCCGGCCATCCAACAAAACTGTCAACAAAACAATAGTTGCTGTCAACCAACCCCTGCAATGTTACTGCATGGAAACCTTTTCAATTCACATAATCTTTCAGACTTTGGAGAGGTGCAACAACAGGCACATGGCAACCATCAAGAGTGGCCACTACTTGGGGATGGAGACCTGCTTTCACTCCAAACTCAAGGTAAGTTTGGGGCTCATTGAAATAGCTAGTGCGTCAACAACAATACAGATGATACAAGACATCTGCAGTGGAAGTATACGTAGAGTTGTCTCCTGGAAAGCTTTGGACAACTTTCCGCATTTTTTTGGCTTTCCTCTCTCTGTGTTTTCCAACACAAAAGCACAATATTTCGCCCATCCACCATTTTGCTTACATTTTACATGTTGTGGCTGTATGATGTTGTAACATTTCACGTCAATTACACTTACATGAGTGCGAGGCCGAGCATGAACACGAGGCTGCATTGTTGTCAGCTCTTGTTGTTTGCTGTGAGCGGGTTGATCAGTTAACCATGTTTAATTAAACATGGTTTCATTACACTCTGTTTAATTAGACATATTTTGATGGTGTGAACATGGTATAAGTTTGAAATGCAATGTTAAAATTGCTGTGTTTGAAATACAATTTAAAAGTTGCTATGTTGCTGTTTGAAATTAAGTATTAAAGTTACAATTCAGCTTTCCTGAACAGTTGTGGAGTTGCTATTTAGTTAACATAATATATTATATGATTAATTGCTTCTGGTTACAATTGGGTTATTCCATTTTATCATATCTGCTCCCCCTATACAAGAAACTAGTCTTTGATTAAGAATTAGCCTACACAAGTCTATGAACTATATATAATTGTAATTGTTGTCGAGTTAAGTATTATTTCTGTGACGTATTAGTCTTTGTTTTTGTATTAGTGACGCTTCGATATCATATGTCAGACCTCGTGCGTTGTCGTTTGCGGTAGTTTAGACAAGAGAGCTTATTGCGAGTGTCTCTGCGTTCATTGCGACTCATTCAGGCGTTACAGAGAGGACTATCGGTAAGCGACCGTATTATTGTATTGATTTCCTTGTTTTCTTTTCCTGTTACCGAATGTTGCATTGTTAGCTGTGTTTGCGCTCATGTAATTGATATGTATTCGTGTCATAAAATAGTTATTTTAGTTTCAGTCCTTTAGTATCGCTTATACTAGGTTTTTTAATTGTATTTAGTTTGACGGTTTTGGACATCAAGTCACAATTAGTATGAATTAACTACGTTTGGAATTATAGTTGGTCTTTGGTGTCTCGAATCAGTATTTCGCTCGATGTCCTCGCATTAAATCCTGTGTATCTTTGGGACATTCCGACGTTGTTTCGACGCCTGGAGCTATAATAATCTCCCAGATACATGCTGTCATTGACTGCCTATTTTTTAGTATTTCTAGATCCAAAGGCAGATGGGAGTGACCTACAAAATGTACTTATGTTTGAGAAAGGTATTGAGTTTTTTGTTTACATTATGTACCATCTCTTTTGGAGAGGAAACAAAAGTGAAATAAAATTACTATTATCATATGACTCCACAGATTCTCAAGCTGTTGTGTTATAAGTAATTGTTGTTGTTAATATAAGCTTCTAGAAATCTCCAGACTGCTTAGTCATGCTGATATGTGTATCAAAGAACTTTCTTCAACATTTCATCAAGTCACGCAGTTATTATGTAATACTACTACACTGGTTCTTTTGAAATGTTCCGGAATACATTATGTGGTATTTATAGGAGTTGCTCCTTGTTAAGAATATCATTCTTTGTTTTATAAAGTAGCTGAGTTTGTAGTTCTGTTGGTTAGATTATACAGTAACAGATGTGCAACACCACTGTTGTATTAAAATGAATATTGGTTTCACCCTTAGAAAGAACACCAACCAACTTCATGCAACTACCTTTCCAAAGGTTGTCAGTGATTTCTTTAAGAAAGGCATCTATGTTTATGGAGAAGACACCACCCCTCTAGAAGAAAAAAAGTACTTCCTTTCAGACATGTCCATTTACAGCTTTCTAAGATAAAAAACTAATCATCTCTATGACAAATCATACTGATGGAGAGTCTCAGGCACAGGAAAACACAGATGAAACCAACCTGGTACAAGGATTGACACAATGCACAACTACGGCTGTGTAACACAATGTGATAAAACACC